CCTCCTGCTGACTACCTCATTGATCATGAACTTTATCCATTCGTACAGGAGAAGATTCAAGAGAAAAAAGAGAAGCGGTAACCCTTCCAGCTAAACATGTCTTTGGGATTAAAGAAAGAAAGAAAGAAAGAAAAAAAGATACGACGAAGGGGCAGACGAACAGAGTGAAGAAATTCAGAAACTTCCGAAAGGCAAGAGGTTAACTGGTGATAAAAAGGCAGATCGGAAATCTATAGAAAGTTGAATAAAAATTGAGGTTTATGGCAAAGAGCTCGCAAGGTTGAGGGATGAGTTGCAGGGAAAGAACCAGAGAGCACTTTATGCAAAAATGAATCCTATTCATGGTGCCAAATCCCAAATATTACTTCAATTAATATTTGAAATGAGGTAGATGAGGCAGATACGTTGGGCACTGCACTGAATTGTTCAACAAAAATTGGTTCTGAACATATTGATGAAACGGAGCACATACCAGCCATGGAACATTTTACCGGTCAGTTTCTTTGCACGAGCTAGACATGCCACATAAAACTTTAATTCAAGTAGAGCTCAATAAGAAATGGTCTTCCACCATAAACCTTGTTCCCGGAAGCAAATGTCTAAAATGTTCTGAAGTTCTGAGTGTAGAGAACTGCCATCACTTTCATATTGGTTTTAAAAAGCCATCGAAGTCAATATCGAGTGTGCAGTTGAATGTCCTTGCCTAGTACTGTCAGTAGTTTATTATGGTAGAAATACGAATGATGTTATTTCTATTTCATCCTGTATTACAGAAAATGTCGAGAACGGCAGAAAGAAATACACTTAGACAGGTTAGACTAATCATATATGGAAACAGTAAAAAACAAGCTGCTGGATTTCTCCAACTTTCCTTAGGATCGATACAGCTACACTATTCAGCAATGTCTCCACATATTAATCAAAAAAGCAGATGGGACAGGTCTGTTGCACAAATCGTTCCCAGCAGCAAGCAGACTGTTGAATGGGTCTTATTGCACATATGTCAGATGAAAGATCGGCCATTGTACATATATTTGGTAAACTTGCTGAAGGTACAAGGGGAAAAGTCGACCGGCTGCCGAGTCAGGGCGAGCCTCAGAGATATTTTCTGTCGAAAAAGAAAGCGGAGGCATGGCGTTTGTAAGAAAAGAATATCACAGAAGGAAAGAGAGAAGCAGAAGAAACGCGCAAAGTGACATCCGGGGAAAAGCGAACCAGTGGGGAAAGTGAACCTTATCAGTCTTTTTGAATACAGAAGTTACTGTATATGTACTTTGTAGCCGTCAGTTATATGTACTTATATGGGGCCATATATGTCACTGTGTAGGGGAAAGTATCATAAAAATAGTATAAACATACCGAATATAGAAACTAGATACAAATATTAACCGTTGCTTTTAAATGATATGGCATCATTGCAGACATGAGACCAAGGGAGGTTGAAGTAGGACAAGAGTATCATGCTTGTGTGTGCATACGTACGTGCGCGCATGCATGCGTGCTCTAGAAAGCAAACATTGAATATTTGATTCACTGTAACCTGAATGTCCTACCAGAGCATTTGGCGGTCTACATATCTCCTGTCACGAGATGCGAAGGAAATAAAGACATATCTTTAAAAGGTAGAAACTTGATCAACAGAATACGACGTCCGTTAAGATTTTTATGTAAGAAGAGCAATATACACAATGAAATGTAAGAGTCACTCATGTATTAATATGTACTCTTGGTAGCAATAGCTTACTCGCATCGAGATAAGCTTTCGGAGGTCACAGTTACTCGATGTAGAGTTTTCCTCCCTTGCACACGAGAGGCTAATCGTGTAAGACAGGTTTTCACTTTACGAATGGTGAAAGGGACATAATACACAGCTAGGTAGGTTCACTGTCAGAACTACTTAGGAAGGAAATACGTGATTCATTGACTTTTTAATTTGTATTTGTAATCACGAAGAATGAACACTGATTATATTTTCCTATTCACCTCTTCCTCGCGCTTAGTAACACGAAAAATGAACACGTACATATGTCGTACTTTGATTCCGCATCATTCGTCACATTCTACATAGTATCAGTGAAGGGGTGCATTGCCTGAAGAATTCAGGGTTTCCAATTAATACCAAGGCCATGTGTGTGAATTGGCAGCGATTGTCCGCACGTATCTGAGCTATTTTAAACGTGCATCACATAACAATGCTCAGATTACGCAGTGAGCAAGGACTACCTCGTGTCCCTTGGCGACCTGCATTAATGGAGGCAGTGGAAGGTTTGTCTTACTGCTGTGTTTATTTATAATGTATTAATCTTTTTTTGGATTTGAATTCCTTTTAGTCATTATATTTACTCGTCGCTGAGGTTTAAACAGTAAAAATAAGATAATGTACATATGGTTTATATATATATATATATATATATATATATATATATATATATATATATATATATATATATATATATATATATATATATATATACATATCTATACACATCTATCTATCTATCTGCATATATATATATATATATATATATATATATATATATATATATATATATATATATATATATATATATATATATATATATATATGTATATGCAAATATATGATAGATGTGTATAGATATGTATATATATATGTATATATATTATTGTTATCACGATCATTATTATTATTATCATTATTATTGTTATTATTATCACCATTAATACTTTTAACATTATCATTATCTTTATTATTGTTACTATTTCATAATTTTTATCACTATTATTATTATCGTTTTTATTCTTATCACTATTATCAGTTTTGTTATTATAATCATCATTATTATTATTACTATTATTATTGTTATCTTTATCATTATTATCATTGTTATTATTGTTGTTGTTATTGTTTTTATTGTTGTTGTTATTACTGTCATTATCAAGATTATTATTATCATCATCCTCATCATTTTAATTATTCTTATTCTTATTACCTCCGCCAAGGAGGTTATGTTTTTGACGGCGTTGGTTTGTTGGTTAGTTTGTTTGTTAGCAGTCTAGCTCAAAAAGTGCTGGCCGGATTTCATTGAATTTTTGGGGACAAGTCAGAAAGGGACTAATTTAGAACCGATTAAATTTTGGTGACATTCCGAATTACCGTCTGGTTATTATTATTATTATCATTAATTAATCTATAAAGTACATAAATCTACGGTAAACGTGTACCACATTTCACTGACATTCCGAATTACCGTCTGGATGCAGCAGCGGTGTAAGTACATTATATACGCACCTTGGCGGAGGTCTGCACTCTCTGAGTGCTTTTCTAGTTCTTCTTATTATTATCAAGAACACTGTCATTATCGTTATTTTAACATTATCACTATAATTGGTGGTGTTCTTATTCCTATTATTGTTGTTGTTATCATCATCATCATCATCATCATTAATATTGTTGTTGTTATTATTGTTATTAGTATTATCTTCATTAATATCACTGTTATTACTGTTATCATTATCATCAACATCATCATCATCATCATTACGATTATTGTTATTTATATATATGTTGAGAATCATCATAATCATTATCAACATTTTATAATTATTATTGTTATTATTATCATTATCATTTTCATGATTATCATTCGTAGTAGTAGTATTACTACTATTAGTTGTCATTATTATCACCATTATTATTGTTATTGTTTTTATTATTGTTGCTGATCATTTTCATTATTATTATCATCATTATTATTGTTGTTGTTTGTTGGTGGTGGTATTATAATTGTTATTGTCCTTGTTGTTATTGTTTTTATTACCAAAACTACTACTATTATCATTTTTATCATTTGTTACTATAGTCATTGTTATCAATAACATTATAATCATTATCATTACCATTATTAATAACATTACTTTTACTATAATTACCACTATTACTGTAATTATTATTACTATTATTATTATCATTATTATTATTATTATTATTTCTGTTATTATTATTATAATTATGACTATTATTATGATTATCATTATTATTACCATTATTGTTATTAGTGGCAATAAAATGACTGTCATTATTATCATTATCATTATCAATACTTTTATCATTATTATTATTACTATTATTATTTGTATTATTATTATCATTACTGCTATCATCATTATCATTGTATTTTTTTCCTTCTCGTTTTTTTGCACAGGACAGGGACCACGGAGCGATACCAGACGCAGGAAATGGGAGCTGACAGCTTCTTGACACTGAGTGAGGCTCCTTTCGTTCGATCCTCAGCCGTGATCATGAATCAAGAAAATGAGGGAAATGGAAAACACGAATTGAAAAGAAAAATGAAGTTGAAAGCGTTAGATTGCAAAGATATTTCGAAATAACGGATGTTGAAATGTGTCGCAAGGTAATGAATAAATGTGCATAGAAACGAAAGGGTTAAATAGGTTAAATAAAGGATCCATATTTGACAGTCGCATATCCCCCCCTCCCCCCCGCAAAAAAAAAAAAAAAATAATAAAAAAAAAAACAGGAAAATATTCACTCTTAAAACTAACCAGACTGCTTGATGGTGAAAATACTTTCAAATTATACTCAACATATACTCAAATTCTAATGTTTCATCAATCCATTTCTTAAATTTGAATTTAGGTGTAGTAAGTTTTTTTTTCAGAAGGTAGAAAAATATCCATACTTTTGCATTATTCACTTTTATTGGCCTTTACCTTTACGAAAACAAATTTGCTAGTTGCAAGCAAACATAACAATCAAATTTGGACTGTGGTAAAACCTGTTATTCTAAGCTTTGCAGTTCATCTCTAAACAAAAAGCAAATACATCCATTTTGTAAACACAAAAACAATATATGAATAACTTAAGCACTGGACCAAGGATAGGTGCACCGTATTTAATCTCTTAGCATCAACTGATGTTCAGAAGCAAGCGAAAGACAGGTTCTGGCAGCGGCAGAGGTTGGCGACGAGTATATAAGGCAATGGCGAGGCGTGCACCGGCCAGAGTTCTCTCGCCAAAGGAACAAGTAATTGCTTGCCTGGTCCTCTCTTCTCTCTTTCCTTACATACACCACTTCCATACATACCATTCACAAGATATTCAGGTACAGTTCTTCGCCGTTGGCATAGCTTGTAACTGCAAATAAGCTCTCATACATTCTTGTGTCACCACCTGATATCTTTGTGAACTAAATGGTTGTCTTTCAGACCAAGATGATGACTGTCCAGAGATGTGTGGGAGTTACCGCTGTTCTAGTGATGACGATGGCTTCTCTCGCCGAGGCTCTCACTATTAACGA